GCAGGGAGCCCGATGCGGGACTCGATCCCAGGACCCTGGGATCATGACCTGAGCCGAAGGCAGACGCTTAACGACTGAGCCACCCAGGCGCCCTAAATTTCTTTTTTAATACCAGAGTAAGACGTATGTCTCATAAAATATTCAGGCGATACAAAAATGTATAAAGTGGTAGTCTGCTCTTTTCCCTTTAATCCTGCCCCTGGAGAAAAATCTCTGCACCCTGCCCCCGCACCCCCCTCGCATTGTAAGATGTGCTCCCAGCCAGATCATGAGTGCTCATACAAATCTTTATACACAGATAAATTTTATGGGCTTTGTTTTCTTTTTAAGTTATAATAGTGGGATCATCCTGCTATTCCACATCATGGATAGCTTTCCAAATTGATCCTCAGTACTTTTATCCACCTAATGGTGTTCTGATGTTTGGTTGTCTGTAGTTGAAAGCACGCCCCCTTGTGGACATATACATTGTTTTCATTTTCTGCTACTGTAGGCAGCCCTGCCATGGGCTTCACCTGTGTGCACAGCCCTTTTGGGGACACCGAATGGCATCCCTGGTGACCAAACCCCCAAAACGCTGTGAGATTATGGAGCCTAATTTAGTATCTCTAACTGACTCATTAAAATGGAAGTCACGCACTTTCCCCCAGCACACACGCACAGTCCCAGTTGTACAGAAGGCACACATGACCATAACTCTTGCTCTGGTTCTAGACCCCCTTCTACCAGTTCCCACCCCGATGGCAGCGATTGTTAACAATGTATTCTGGTCCTACCCGCGCCCCCCCCCGAAATATTAAAAACATTTGAATCTGCTTTCCTCTTCTCCTCCCCTCCCCTCCCCTCCCCTCTTCTCCCCTCCTCTCCTCTCCTCTCTTCTTCTCCACCCAGATGGGATCATAATAGACTGAACTGCTAACCTCATTTCTTGTTTCCCACAGCCTGCCCTGAAGGTTGTTCCATAGTCACATCGTTAGATCTGCCTAGGTCATGTCAGTAACTAATTAGTTGCTTATTCCTTAGTGGTGGCCATTCACCAGTCCCCCCGATGGACAGTCAGGACATCTTTGCTTTTACGAGCAGGGCTGCAAGGCCACCGTTGCATCTGTCCACAGGGACCCACGGGAGTGTGCCCCGGCGTGATTTCCCTGTGGGGGGCGGATTGCGGGATCTACGGGCATCAGCATTTAACAGTTGACGTGATCTCCCCCATGTGGTCAAAGAGATCCTGGCCTTTTCGATCCTACCTGCAGAGGGTGTGGGAGCTCATTGCTTCTCATCTTTGCCAGTGTTTTTCAGATTTCGGGGGATGCCAGAATTTGAAAGCAATATGGCCATTGTGAAAAAATTTTAAGATGTGGATAAGTTGTAGGAAAAAAACAACCAAATGAATCAATCCATCACCCCAAAATAATCACTCTATTTTTTTTAACTTTTGGTTTTGAAATAATTAGAGAAATAATTCGGTTATGACATTAAATAAATACTATTGAGAAATAGATAAAGTGGCGACGGTAGTATGGGGAGGTCCTATGTACCTTTCATGCAGTTTCCCCTGACAGTTACATTTATGTGACTATATAATATCCAAACCAGGCAAACAGAGTCGTGCATGTGTAGCTCTGTGTCATTTTATTATCACGTTTTAAGTAACAACAACAACAAAATTAAGATACAGAGCTATTCCACGGGCACAAAGATCTCCCTCTTGTTACCCCTTGATAGAGGCATCCATAGCCCTGCTCTCCATTCCCCATCCATAACCCTTGGCAACTAATTTGCTCTCCATCTGTATAATTTTGTCACCTCAAGAGCCTTATCTAAGTTGAATCGTACGGTATGTGACCTTTTGGGATTGGCTGTCCCAGCGTGATCCCGTGAGACCCATCAGGTGGCTGGGGGTACCATTAGCATGTTCTTTTTGCTGCTGGGCAGCATTCCACGGTCTGGATGCATCCCAGTCTCACCATTCACTGTTGCACATACGCTTCTTTAAAAGATGGGAACATATCTGAGAGAAATGTTGACAGAGGTGTAGGCCTGTGGGATTACGAGAATCTTTGTGAACAGGAATGGTAACATCTCATCTCACCTGACACTTAACAGTTTACAAAGGCCTTCCACACCATGATCTCCTTTTTAGGCTCCTGACCCGGGGTCAGGCGTGTTTATCTTCCATTCTGTGCGTGAAGGAGCTCTGAGCCGTGGCCATGCCTCACGCGGCAGCCAGCTACAAAGCCTGGTCATTCCCCATGACTGGGACCAGACAGGCACCTCCCCCTAACGTGATTTTAAGGCTGTGTGTTTTGTTTGCCTTGGAAGCCGCTTCACTGGATTTCTCAGGCCTTATTGGGGAGGGGCTTTCTCTCCTTTGCCAACTCCAGACTTGGGCCCCTTACGGAAGAACCAGGCCCACCGTCCAGAACGGGCTGGTAGAGACCCTGACCTGGTGGTGGGCCCGATGGCTCTCTGTTTGGCCCTAGATCAATGGCATTGCGCTGGACAACAAATCTCTGAATGAGTGTGAATCTCTGCTACGTAGCTGCCAGGACTCCTTGACCCTCTCCCTCCTGAAGGTAAGGACCCCCACCCAACACCAGCTCTGCTCTCATCGGCTGTGGGGCAGGCAAAGCCTCAGCTCCATATACCTGAGCTGCTACTCTGCATCGCTGGGAGTCCTTGAAAAAAAAGGTATTAATTTACAAAGTGCAGGGTGTGCATGGACCCTGACTGGATCCTGGTTTAAAAAGAAAAGCGAAACAAGACATGAGGGACATTTTGAGGACAGTGGTATACATTTGAATCTGAACTGAATAAATGAGGTGATCTGAGAGACTCGGGCACACTTTGGGGTGTGTGTGGCCCGTTGCTGACCCTCCCCCACCCCATGGGGACCGCGCTCGTGGGCAGAGCCTGGTTTTGCGGTCTTACCCACTCTTTCTCACTCTCTGCGATCCCCACGTAGGTGTTCCCTCAGAGCTCCTCATGGAGTGGCCAGAACATCTTTGAGACCATCAAGGACTCTGATAAGATGCTGAGCGTCCGAGCCCACGGCCCCGAGGTCCAGGCTCAGAATAAACGGAGCTTGTTACAGCACAATAACTCCACGCAGACGGACATCTTCTACGCGGACAGGCTGGAGGACAGGAGGGAGCTGGGCCCCCCGGGAGGCAGCAGCTCCTTCCTGCACAAGCCGTTCCCTGGGGGACCCTTCCCAGTGTCCCCCCAGGCCTGTCCCAGCGCCTCTGAGCGCAGCCTGAGCTCCTTCCGCTCAGACACCTCTGGGGAGCGTGGCTACGGGCTGGTGGATGTGCGCAGCCGGCGACCACTGCTGCCCTTCGAGACCGAGGGGGGTCCCTGTGGGGCGGCAGAGGCCCCCCTGGATAAGGCAGACCCCGAAGGCTCCAGCAGCGGCGGGACCTGGCCCAAGGCCGTGCTGGGCTCCACAGCAGGGCCCGAGAAGCTCTCTGTTTATAAGAAGCCAAAGCAAAGAAAGTCTATCTTTGACCCTAACACTTTCAAACGCCCCCAGACTCCCCCCAAAATAGACTACCTGCTCCCTGGCCCTGGGTCTGCTCACTCCCCCCAGCCCTCCAAGAGGATGGGGCCTCTGACGCCCCCAAAACCTCCCAGGAGGAGTGACTCCATTAAGTTCCAGCACAGACTGGAAACCAGTTCCGAGTCCGAGGCCACTCTGGTGGGCAGCTCCCCGTCCACCAGCCCCCCGAGCGCACTGCCCCCTGACGTGGACCCCGGCGAACCCACGCACACCTCACCCCCTCGCAAGGGCAGGGTCCGCATTGCTTCCAGCTACTACCCTGAAGGGGACGGGGACTCCTCCTACCTGCCTGCCAAGAAGTCCTGTGACGGGGACCTCACCTCCCAGAAAATGGACGAGCTGGGGCAGAAGCGCCGTCGCCCCAAGTCCGCTCCTAGCTTTCGGCCGAAGCTGGCTCCTGTGGTGATTGCTGCTCAGTTCCTGGAGGTGGGGCTCAGCCTCGGGGTGGGGACGGGGCGAAGGCACGGGGAGGGGCCCTGAGCTGGTGTCCCCAGCGTCGTGCTTAGCCCTGGCTCCTTTGCCTTTGCTCTAAGCACCTGTCCGAGGAAAAGGGGAGTGGGGTGGCCGGTGGATGCCGGTGGGAAGGAGCCTTCCTTAGGAGACTGGAAAGGAATGGGTAGGGGGGTATGCATGTTAATGGCATATGATGCCAAGACAGGAACATTTTCTTGGCTGTGGTGTCTGATTTGCTTTTTCATCAAGAAGCTTTTGAACTCGCACAACAAAAGCAAGGGACACGGACCAGCCTGGAAGGGTCCGGGGGGGCGAAGGTAGCACCTGGGAATCTGTCGGCTGGCAGCAGGAGGCTGGTCCATGTCCGGTGGGCTGGTTTTGGTGGGTGCTGGGTGCTGTAGTTGTCTCCAGATGGGAGCTGGAGACCACATCCATACGACTCTGCAGACGAAGACCCTCACCCAGCCATGCAGGTTTTGAGGAGCCGTTACATACATGTGCCTGACGCACTCACGCATTCCGTGTCTTTACCCAGTTTGTTTACTTGAGAGACCAGGTTCTTTCTCTGTGGTTTTCTTCCAGAGTAGTGTCGAAGGAAGTTCTTCTCTTCCGGTTGCTTGAGGCAACATGAATGAGCAGTGACCTCTCCTGACTGTCACGTCGTGTGTCCGAGTGGGCGAGCTAGTGCTTAGGGGACAGACCTGCAGACACCTGTGCATGTCCATTTCCGGCCACTGTCTCTTGTCTTGGGTCCTGCAGGAGCAGAAGTGCATCCCGGCCAGTGGAGAACTCTGCCCAGAGCTCCAGGAATGGTCCCCATACTCACCGGGGCACTCCAGCCGGCACAGCAACCCCCCATTCTACCCCGGCAGGGCATCTGTGGGTGAGTCGTCGGGGCGGGGAGGAGGGTCCATGGTGGGCTCGCAGGGCTGCTCGCTCCTGGGGAGAGTGGAGGCGGTCACTTCAAGGTGCCTCTGTGTGTCCTCAGCCCAGAGGTCCAGAGAACTAGCAATGGCTGCCCTGTCTGGGATGTTCAGTCTTGTATCAGGGACATTTCTTAGCTTTTCAGGGCCCCTTTTTTCCATAGCAACCTGAGAAATAGGAAGCAATAAAGCAAGTTCTCCCATCTTACAGATGGAGAAAGCCAAGAGCTTGCACAGGTCTGGGGCTGGCTGGGTGCTTTGGGGTGATTGTTCTTACCCAGCCCATTTCTAGGCACTGTACCCCGGAGCATGACCCCGAGCACCACTGTGAGCTCCATCCTGAGGAACCCCATCTACACCGTGCATAGCCACAGGGTCGGCCCTTGCAGCTCTCCACCTGTGCCCAGAGAGGTCGGCCCCCAGGGTTTGCATTCCAGGTATGTGAAGTCACCCCATACCTCCCTGCACCCTGGGCGGCCAAGCCCCTGGGCACATGAAGCCACTGGTGCACAGAGTGGCCCACGGGCAGAGAAGTGTCCTTGCCTAGCCGGGAACGGGCTGGTTAGAGCAGTGCTGGGGCCCCAAGAAGAGTGAACGCTAAGGATCCTCTCTTCATTCCTAGCATGGAGCTTGAAGAGGTATTTAAAGAGAGAGAGAGTGATGGCAGCTGGTGCTTAAGTGCTCACATGCCAGGCACTGTGCTGGGACCCTTGTAAACCTCATCTCATTCAATGGCCACCACAACCTCATGAGCTAAGGACTGTTGTTGGCTCTGTTTTATGGATGAGAAGATTGAGCCTTAAAAGGTGAACAGACTGGCTCAGGGTCACCCATTCATTCATTGTTTGGCAAATTTTAATTGAGCACCTACTACATGGCATGGACTTTTCTAGTTCCAGAGGGATATAGAGTGGAGAACTAAATCAACTAAACTAGGTGCTTTTCATGGGGCATTTATGTTCGAGTGTGGGAGGCAGACGCACAAGACGGGGTGGTACCAGGTGGTGCTGGGTCGCTCTGAAGACCACAGAGCAGGGTGGCCAGCTAGGCTGTAGACGAGGATGGAGGGGAGGGCCCTGGGAGGAGCGGAGGGGGGTGCTACCGACATCGGGAGGCTGAGAAGAAGCCAGCCACACAAGACCTGGGTGAAGTCCCCAGGAAGGAGGGCTGTAGGAGCCACAGACACCTGGGAACAGTGTGCTGGGCTCTGGGACAGAGTAGGGGAGCATGCATGGGCACAGTAGGTCAGGAAGAGCACACAGGCTATAGGGCATGGATCCTATAGGGCCTGCGGCCATGATGTGGAGTTGGGATTTTTTTCTAGTCTGGGCTTTAGGCAGGGAAGAGACAGTCTCATTACACACCTAGACAAGGACATTGTTGGGTCTGATTGTAGGCCTGCCCGAGGTGGGTGAGGCCTGGGCTCTCTGCCCTCCAGTGTCCCAGGCAGCTGTCCTGAGCGAGGTGTGCAGGTCCCCGTCCGAGGTCCTCGATGCCCATCCAGCCTCTCCCGCCCATCCTGGAGGAGAGGCTCCACTTCTCTGGGCCCGGACAGGGTTCAGAGCCTGTTTTTCCCAGCGGAAGCCCTTGCTCCCGGTGAGCCCAGTCCTGGTGCCAGACTGGAGGTATGCCACTCCTCTACAGGCACAGCAGGACCTTTCTCTGTGGGCAGGGCCCTCGTTGGATGCGGCCTGTGAGCGTGGCAGTCCGCTCTTCCTACCTAGCGGCGAGTGGCTTCTGTGGGCTCAGGGAGGCCTTGGCCCAGGCCTGCTGCTTGTTTCTCCCCAGTGGCCGTGTCCAGGCCTGGTGTTCCTCCCGAGCGCCTCACATGTCTGGTTTTCTCGCAGCGTCCAGCACCAGGGACGCCTGAGCCTGGACCTGAGCCACAGGGTTGGCAGTGACTACTCAGATATGAGAGCCTCCCACGGGTCCAACTCTCTGCCCTCCAGCGCCCGCCTTGGTAATGGTACCACTAGAACCTTCTCCCCATAGCGGGGCACTAGCCTTGTTTCCCTCTCTACCTGCATCCTCATGGCCAGACTTTCAGGTGGCCTGCCCACCTGGACCCTTCTCTGCTTCTGGGGCCGAGGTTGGCCCCACACTGCTCTGGGAGCCTTCTCCTTCAGCCTTCTGTGTCTCTTAGGCTTTCCCTGGCAGCCATGCGGCTATTCCAGGGGACCTCTGGGCCCACGATTCTCACTTCCTGTCCCTGAGCTTGTCCATGAGCCTGTCCATGATTCTCGGGGTTTGTAGTGCTGTTCATGTGTGGGAAATGCAACCCAGAGGTAGAGACCAGCAGTTACCTCATAAAGAGACTCAGGTGGCACCACTTCCAGCCACGTGGAGTGGAAGCAAGCAGTCCCCTCTGTCACTGAGATTCGTGTGATCCTGTTCTGGGGCAGTCCAGACCCGCACAGTTCACTCAGATCCCTGGGTACTGAGTATCTGCTTTTCTTGACCGGTTCACACGTAGGCCCCCTCGGGGATACGTGGCAAGGCCGCTTTGCATTTGTCATGACTGTGCTTCTTCCCTAAGTACTAACGTGGTGGCGAGGGAGTGAGGGCAGTGTTCAATCACATGCCTGAAGTTTTGTCTCCTCGTGGAACTGTAGGGTCTTCGAGCAACTTGCAGTTCAAGGCGGAACGCATTAAAATCCCGTCAACGCCAAGATACCCCCGGTCCATTGTGGGCTCCGACAGAGGTGAGAACTTGCACTCCCGTCCTGGCCTGCTGGCTCGCACTGGTCTCGTGGTGCAGCGGCTGGGCACAGTGTGTAACCTCCTCCTCTGCTCAGCCGGTCCACGCAGGCTGGTTGAGCCTGGCTGTCAGGCCTGGTGACGAGGGGCTAGATAGAAAGGCCATGCAGAGCCCAGCCCCCGAATTCAAGGTCATGTGGTGTGGCCGCCGCGTGGAGCCACGTGCCTGGGTTGTGCCTCCCTCTTGGTCTGGGCCATGGGGGAGCGGAGATGCGGATTGCAGAGCCCAAGTTCCTTTGCACCTCTCCCGACAGGTTCGTTGTCACATTCGGAATGCAGCACACCTCCGCAGTCCCCCCTGAACATCGACACCCTGTCCTCGTGTAGCCAGTCGCAGACCTCAGCCTCCACGTTGCCCAGAATTGCCGTCAACCCTGTGGCCCTCGGGGACCGGAGGAAGGACAGGTGAGCACTACTGCGCATCTGTCCCATGGGCACGGCAGTGGGTGGCACATCCCTACAGCAGGCCAGGGCTTGGTTGAGGGAGTGGGCTTGTTGGTAGAAGCAGCAGGTGCATTGGAGGGTTCCAGCTGAGTCGATCCCAGGGCGAGACCTCTCTGCTTCGGGTCACCTAGCGTTCTCTGGTGTGCCGCCTCAGCCCTTCACAAGGAAGCCCTGCAGGTGCATGGTGCCAGGAGGTGGGGTGCACATAGACGGCAAGGTGAGGAGCAGGGTGGGCTCCTTCCACAGAATGTCCACGGGAGGGGCTGAGCTGCAGCAGATGATGCTGGGGGCCACCTGGCCGAGATGATGTGGTGGCACCATTCACTGCTTCCCTGACCCCTGGTTAAGCACTTTCCGTGTGTTAAGTCATGAAATGCTCACAGTGACCCTGTGAGCATCGTGCATAGTCATCATCGTCATCATCATTGGTTCTCTTTTACAGATAAGGAAACTGAGGCCAGAAAGTTGGCGTGACCTATCTGTGGTCACATGGTTGGTGACTGGCCTACCTTCCTTAGAATCAGGGCTCGTTCTTATTCTTTGCTTTTTGGCTCCAGAACACAGCTGCATCACTTGTCCCCCTCATTCCCAGGCTTTTTATTGTGAAATAAAACATGCCGGAAAAAAATGTATGTAAAAGTATAGCTTAGCCATTTATTGGTTCGTTTTGAAATGCTGGCCAATCTGCTGAGATTTCGGGTTAACTTGAGGCTGATGTCAGTCCAGACGGTTGGACCCCATCCTCTAAGGGGTCCCTCACTCCCCCCACAAGCTCCACACCCCTCACCCACCTCTGCTGTTTCAGAGTTGAATTTACCAGATCATATTTATAGTTAAGAGGTCCTGTCTAGATTGTCAGTCTTCAGGGGATCTGATTAAACTGGAACTTGCTTTTATTTAATCACTTAAGAGGAATGGAGCCACTCCTGTCCACTCAAATCCAAAATGCTGAGGGCCCTCATTTCTGAGCCATGGAAGGAACCCTGCAGGGTGGGCTCTGCATTAAGAAAATCATTTGACTTGAAAAATCTGAATTTGTAAGACAACCTAACAGGTACCCTGACAACCATTGAATATTAACGAGCCCAGAAGTGCACCTGGGCCCGTAGGGGAAGCAGGTGCAATTCATGTGGAAATGTCTCACCCACGTGATGCACATGGGAACACAAACCTGCACCAAGTCCCCGGGTCGGGGGGGTTGTTTTACTTGACCCCAGCTCAGGTCACTGAGCAGCAAGATCTTCCGCCAACTCAAGTGGGTTCCTTAGAAGCAGAGAGGGCCTGTCCCCTGCCATCAGGTATCCCATAGTTAGCTCCTACAGCGTGCAGAGAACCGGGAGCTGCTCTGGTGAGAGGAGGGTGTCCACGTTCCTGCCTTCACAGTGCTTCTGATGTAGTCAGAGGTGTACAGTTTAATGTGTGTGACTTGACTGAAGGGAAAACAGCTTCTTCCCCCCGATTCTAACGTACATCATCGTGTAACTTCTTATTAGAGGAAACTGGGAAGATAGAGGAAAGTAGAAAGAAGAAAAGTCACATATAATCTCCTCAGTTGCTGTTCCCCTTTTGTTAAGCATGTATATATGTGTATGTGTGTGTGTGTGTGTATATATATATATATTTGTTAAGCATATATATATATATATATATATGCCAGTTACTGGAGGTGAGTGAGAGCTGCCCCTTGCACTGCCTTCTTCCCTCTGTCCTCTCCTCCCTTCCTGGGAAGAGCTGTGCTTCCCCGG